GGAATGTGGTCTGTGTGTTTTGTTAGTGGCAAGCTATTAATTTGAAAATTATTATGTAAACCTCCCTGGAAATGGGAATCTTCACTCTGTAATAGTAACTCTGCAGCATTAGGGCGAAACCTGGTCCAAAACAACAAAAATCTTCTCTTGGGAGAGTGAAATGATTTGTCAGTGCTGCTGGTTATTTAATTGCCTTGCAGTAAACTTGCTGAAAGTAACTTCCAACACCACTGATTCCACCTCTAATTACACAGTGCCGGCTGCGCGCTCGGTTTGCTATCGTTCTCTGTAAGTGACTCCGATTCCGAAGAGCTTGCTTCGCCTGTTCTTGTTTGGAAATTAAGGCACTACTTAACACTGTTAGGGCATCCTTAACACTGTTGCTTTAGGATACAGTGCTGCTTTCCTTAATTCAATTTCTGTGACTTTCTTTGTGGACTAACAGGATTCTGCTACAGTTCAGATTAAAAGGTAATTTTGGCACTGAGTGACGCTGACCGAATATATTAGTTTGCAGAGAGGTACAAGTGAGGAACAAGTTCATTTCCTAATACTGCTGAGTGCAGACAGCATTCTAAGGAGCAGAAGAAATTTCCAAATGAAACCAGAGTGTAAGACCGTAGTATTCAAACTGGGCTACTTCATGGTGATATGGATAACATCCCTTTCGGTTTTCTTTGGAACTTGCTTTCGGTGGTCCTTCAGGTAGATATAAATGCTCCTAAGCCTGGGCTCATCCGAGTAAGCCAGGATGTTGAGCTCATGATCTAGTCTTGAGCTGGACTGGCCAAAGTAGCAGAGAGCACAGCTGCACCAGTACCGGGGCCAGGACAAGACAGGACAGGAATGTGTGGTAAGGTGGTACAGAAGAATAGAACTTGGTGTCCTGGACTCCGATCAGTTTGGATTACATAGCATCCCGATCGCTGCTTTTAATCCGGTCTGAAAGGGAGATGTGAACTCTACCACAGGCAAGTAACTGTTTCTGTAGAGTGGTGTTTGGAGCGTTTTCTTAAACCCATTGGAGCTGAAAGAGTTTATTGTAAAATCTATTATTATTTTAAATGAAAATCCTTGAAGAACAGTTCTGATAGCTTTATCTGCTAGTAATTATGGGTTTTATGTTTCTTTGCGTAGAATAGGCAATTTTCATAGGGTTTATTTCTGTATCATAATATTCTGTAAAAATCACCCCAGACATAGGGGCTGCACTGCCAGTGCTTTTATTTGACATAGACTTATTCTCAGGGAGCTGCGATAGCCATTGAACTACCTCTTCTGTTTCTTGTTTCAAAACAGTACTTACGTTGGATTGATGAAGTGGCAAAAAGTTCTGTATCCCTTTATTTTTTTCTGAGCTGCTGTTTATGCTGCAGTTGAACTCAGCAAAACACCATTTATTCATTTTCATCCCTTCCCTCAATCCCTGTGTTCCACACAGGTTATAAGGAATGCTCCGGTGAAGACATTTGCCAGCGCTACCTTCAGCTCGCTCCTGGATGTGTTCCTCTCCACCACAGTCTTCCTCATCCTGTCTATCACGTGTTTCCTGAAACACGGGATGGTCGCATCCCCTCCACCGCCTGCAGCAGTCGTGGTGTTCGTCATCGCCATCCTGCTAGAGGTGCTGTCCCTTGTCGTCTCAATTAGGTAAATAAAGCGTAAAAAACTCTTGCTATAGCAGTGAGAACTAAAATGGTGGCTGGCTTGGGAATATTTTGTTTGACAGCATCTCAGGAGCTCATTTGGACAGTCTGTAATATTTGGAGAATGGTGTTAGTGAAGGGAAGGCAGCTTGCGGCAGATTTTGTGCAAAGAGAGCTCTAGCTGCAGAAATTGGAGGAGAGAAATGTGATTCTGATAGACGGTGCTTAAGGAAACAGAATCTGCATGCCATGCCTGCCCCTGCTTATTGTTCCTTGGGATGCCACACGTGACTGGATATCGTCTCCCCTCACAGGGACATCAGAGTGAGGGAATTCAAACAGAAAATTTTTATCTGTCCTTCAAAAAAAAACCCCAAACCTCGCCTTTAAATTCCTAGATAAAAGGACACCATTCTGGTGTTAAGACTAAAATAGTTTATCAGGAAGACAAAAAGCAGTCCTTTACTCAAAAAAAAAAAATATAAAAAAAATTGCAAAAGTCATGTTGCATCTGTCCAGAATTAGCTTTCATAATGATCTCTATTTCAAGTCTCATGGGCTTAATATGCGAATAGTTTGTGTTTTCCCTGTTTGACACATAATTGGAGTTCAGCATTTCCCCCAAGCCCTGGGCTGTGTGACACTCAGCTGCCGCTTGCAGAGAGGGTGACTTCACAGGACTGTGCTTGGCAGTGCCAGCCCCACGCTGCTTTTGGCAGCCAAGAATCCCCAGCCCTGAATTCTTAGACTTCCCCGCAAGCCCTGCGCCTCTGCCTCTCCTCTGCCCTTGGAGGTGAGGCTTGGCTGCAGCTGCAGATACCTGATATTTAGCAGTGACTTCTCGTTCCTGACGTGCACCCAGTCACTGGAGGACATGTGGTCTGGACTTCTAGGACTCTTGTGGACCTTACCCCGGCATTTGTTACTAGTCGACGAGCGGTTGCTGTGCGGTTCCGACGTAATGTGGGGTTTCCCCCGGGACGCTGGAGTTAGTAATGCATTCAAGCGTAGCAGGAGACTGCAGTTGTACATGCTTTCAGTAAAGCTCACGCGCTCCTGGGTGTGTTGTCTGATTTATACAGATACCACGTGTAACCTGTTATTAACCGGGATGATAGACCTAATAATAAGTTGTGAGAGCAAGTTTATTCTGCCCTCCGCATCCCCCATTTTCACTGCTCTTCCTTGTGACACAAGAGTGCGTTTTAAGGGTGGTGTGCGGAAACATGTGTCCTTGCTCGTAGTTCTGCAAATCTGTTGGGTACGTGTAGTTTAAAATGCTTTTGTAATTACAAATTAGAAGCAATTCTGCCATTGTTTCAAAAGAAACAAGAGATTGCAGTTTGCGCTTTTATTTTGACTTTTCAGGGTCAAGGTAAAAAATACTAAATTAGTAATTTAGTCATTGAAGCAAGGTTTTAACTCAGTGTACATATAAATGTGTGCGAGCATTTTATATCAAAGCTGGTGTTTAGGAGCAGAGAGATGCCATTTATGAAGAGTGGAAATGCTTTCAAGGATAGTATTTCTTAGCAGGTCTATTTGGTTGTTGCAATTTGAATAGTATTGTAGTTTTGGACTTCTTAGAAAACCTGGACATTTAGAAAGTGTTAAGACACCTGTACTAGGAGATGGTTGAACTGGTAGGACTGGCAGTCTGGTGCATCCTAAACTGGATTAACTGTTGCTCTGTCCTCTCTCTTGCACCAGAAATGCATTTTTCCCTTTACAGAACAGTTTCACTGCTCTGTCTTGGGGGGAGGAAGGGGTTTTTTTTGTCAGTTTGATGTGCCTGGGCAGCTCTTTGATCGCACTGGGCAGGAGAGCAGAAAGACAGCAGTGAGCAGGTAGTCAGGGCTTGGGAGCCATGGCATTGCATCTCTGAATTTGTTCAGCTCTGAACAACTCCAGCACTGCTTTGCAGAAGAGCTGGTTTCTGCCATCCAGATATGTTTGGAGAGAATTTGTGTTCATTCACCTTGCAGGTACCTTATCAAAATACTCCATTTTAGTATTTTCCAATTCATTACTGTTCCCACTTGTTTTTCCAATGCTACATTGCAGTCACCTTTTATTTTGTACATTTATAAAAACCTCTTTGCTAAAATCTTAGAAATTTTTGTATGTAGGTACATAAGGGTTTATTTCAGTCCTGTTCTGTAGTTGGTGGTTTACAGGTTTCTTAAGGAGAAGGAAAATTGTTGGTTTCAATATGCTATCTATATAGTCAAGAATTTGCATAGCGGTTTTGTCTTTGAGTTGTGTACGGCTGCACGGAGGTTTGGCTTCATTGCAGCACCATGTTGGTGAGAGCCATGCTCTCTGGTAGTGAGCCTGGGCCATTACTGACGTGAATTTAAGTGGCTTTGTAATGTTTTCTTAACCCTATTTGGTTTTGCCACTGACATTTCTAATATTTTCATGAGACTATGTTGGCTTAAAGCCCGAATTTTACTTTCTAAGCTGGCTTGGATGCCTCATTCAAAGTCAGTGAGATTTAAAAAGCAGGTGTTTCAGGATGATTCCTAAGTCTTTGAAGTATATATTTTTTAATATTAATCATTCTTTTGTGCTTATTTCTGATTTGAAAAGCAGATTGAGAAACATCTCACACTGTGGAGAAGACCCGTAGCCAGCCGTCAAAACTCACGTAGTCCCACCTGGTGTAGTAATAACAGATTTTCAATAACCGCTGTACTGACAGCATGCGGGACTGCCCGTGCACTCACAGGAGGTTTGGGCATATAGGGAATTCTGCAATTCCTGCACAGCTACTGCGGGTGCAGCTGGTCGGTGGTCACTAGCACTTGCTGCGGTTCTTGGCAAGACGACTGTGAATCTCAAGACCCCGCAAATTCTCGTGGTTAGTTTGGGAAAGAGGAGTCACTGGATGGGATCAGCAATTGCTGCCCTTCCCTGCCCTCGCCGTCAAATGGGATCATCTCAGGTCTGAGTGGATCCTGCCCAGGGTACCTCCTTGAAAGTAGCCTCATACTATACACCAAAAAAAGAGCAGTGTTTGGAGATAAAAAATCTCAGAAGCTTTCTGGTAGGTGTTCAGTTTTAAATGTAATGACAATGGTGTATTTGGGAGGGACTTTTGTAGGAGAAGATATCTGGTTTGGCTTGGAAGGTTGGTGGGATTTTTTTTGTTTTGAATTTATAATATGTATTTACTTCATAGTAAATACATAAAGTACGCTTGTGGGCCGCTCCAGTCTCCACAACCTGAGGCACACACTTCTGTACAGTTCCCTTGAGCAGAAAGAAGAAAATTGTCTTTTTCCTCTTCAGATCCTCTTCAAAGTGAGGGCTGCTCACTCCGACCACTCGTTATGCACAGAAATGGTGCAGAGCTTCCTGTGCAGAAATGTCATCCCAAATGACGATCACAGAATACCACCGAGATATCTTAAGGGAGGAGATTGGACTACAATGCTGGGCACAATCCCAGAATTTCAGGAAAAGGGATTATTTTAGGACCAGAAATTCTTGCCTAAGTTTCTCATTGTATTTTCAGTATCGTGATGCGAAACACCCTGCCTTTAAATCAGCCTAACTTTTAATTGAGTCCAGGACTCAGCCTAGGAAGTACTTGCTACAGCTTTTGTGGCTAAGACCTTTGGTCCAGCTGCAGGAGTGGGAGAGGAGAGCACAATCGCTGCCTGTACCGTGAGAAATGAGTTAAAACTTTCAAGTTCTAGAAGAGCAGAAGTCCTCCTGGAGCAAAGCTTACAAGGGAGAAGGATGTTTTGATTCCTCTGAAGTGTCTGGTAATAAATTATTGGAGTACCTATAGATGAGGATCCCACTGTTATCACAAGTGCTACTCAAAAATTAATTGTATAAAGCTGCATGCAAAAAAATGGTGCTTCATTTGTGAGCATGTGGAAGATGTCATCTGCTGTTCTGTAAACGTAGTGCAAAGAATGTCCTTCTACCCACTTGAAATGTGACTACTTTGACTTTCATGAGTTCAGTTGAAGTCTAAGAGGTCCTAAAGTTCTGCTGTTCTATAAAAATATCTCGGGAAATGTCATTGAACATACGACTGTGTGAGATTTCAGCTGGGATTCTTAGGGGTGCTTCTGCAGGGATACAGGTAAAAGACATCTGCTCACTATTTTAGCTGTAAATATGGGATTTTTGTTAACTGGATACTTTTGACATCTAGTTCTTGTTCTCGAGTAAAACTGTTTAAAAAAAAAAAAAAGTGTTTCTTTTGATAGCATCCTTCAGTGAAGACTTGTGAGTGAAGAGATGAGGCCAGAATAGTGGATATTTCAACCCTGCTCAAAACAATATGAGGTGGGAGCACTTGATAAGATGCTTCATGAATTAGAAGTACCTTTCTAGAGGGAAAAAAAATATTTTCTAGATGAAGAAAGCAAGCAAGTACAACCAAAACGGTAGAATGGGAAGCTGCTGTGGTCTGACTAAGCAGAACCACCCTTTACCCAGTACTGCACCTTCCCAGGCGTGCTGAAATAACACCCACGGTCTGTCTGCAACTGGCCAACCAGTTGGATCTTCTTCTTAAATTCCTCGTGACCAGCAACAGAAATTGTATTCTGCACCTAGAGCTTAATAAACCGGTTCTCTTAACAACCTGACTGAGCAGTATTGATGCAAGGGACAACAATGTATTCTGTTTGCCTTTTATTTCTTTCCAACATCTGTGACTTTGGTATTTAATATCCCACCAAAATGCTGCTACGCCAAAAGCTTTTGATTTGAACTATGGGAATCGATTTTAAGCTGCCAGTAAATACAGAAATGATGGTAACATTCTCCATTACCCATTAATCATTTATGTCAAAGTTACTAATTTGAACTCCAGCTTGTGTAAACATCTTGGATGCTTTAGCATTGAAGCCCTGTTGAGCTCCCCACTGACACTGCATTATTTACTGATACTGCCCTGTAGCCATTAAATCTGTCTGCAGCTCTCATTGCCGTCTGGATTTAATGCACTTCTTCCTGCCATGGGAGGGTTGTGCTGTA